AATGCTTTCATGCGACCTCGCTGGCTTTTGGCAGCGCAGCTGCTGCATGCGTACAGGCCATCAGCTTCAGAACCTGCCGAGTTAACAACAGTCCATTCAGGCATGCTGCCTCTTTCTGCCTCTCTCTGCAGACTCTGAGAGTAGAGCTGCATCCCCCATCAGCTCCATGCGCTCGTAGCAGAAGCGCTTGGACCACTGTGGATGGGACGGCTGGAACGGAAGGGATAACACCTGCTCCAAGCATTTGCTGTGGGCACTTCACACAGCCCCCTGCCCGGACCTTCGAATGTGTCATTGCTTCCCCGAGAGCAGAAGGCAGCGCAGTATGAAGTAATCCGTCATAGAGCAACGGCATTTCCTTCCATACAGATATTCATGCAATCCTCCTGCAAGCTGCATTCCGCTTCACTCTCTGGCAGTATCCCTCAGTGCCTGCATCAATGCCACGAACTCGAGACGCCAAAGCCTCGACTGATACTGGACCCGGCGAACTGGCGGCAAAACCTGAAGCCTTGAGGAAGGGACAGACTCGGCAGACAACGAAGCACTTGCAATGCCCCGCTGGTCAGAGGCATCAGCTCACAGTCTCCAGCCTGGGCAAGACACTCCCAGGCTTTCCGCCCGATTCCATGAGGTCGCAGCCTTGAGCGCGAGCTCCAGTCGCTCTTGCTGCAGGTTTCGATGCACTTTGGCGAATTCGGGGTCCTGCCAGTTCCGAAGAACTCCACTTGGCAAATGACTTTTCGCAGAACTCAGCGCTCAGCAATGGCTGCGTTCACTGCCGCCTTAGTGGAAGCCGAACTACAAGTGAGGCTCATTGAACATGTCTAGGACTAGGAGCCGTACAGATTCTTATAAACCAAACTGGATGAAGCGGCCAGTGTATTTTTAGCATGTCATGGCGAGACAGGCAGACCCTCCCTCGTTGAAGGAGATGTAACACAGGCATGGAACAACCTGTGCCATCGCAAAATTTAAAGAAGAAGTTTCGATTTATTGAACATCGGACATGCTCGTCATAAGCTTGGCCCAGTTCAACGGAACGTTGTGCAAGCTTCGTCGGCTTTGCAGACCTGCAGTACACCTCTGCGACCTGTGGGCGCTCCATGTATGTGTTTTTGTCCAGCTACTCATCCGCCTTTCTTAGGCGGCTTCTGAGGAGCAAGCTCTACTGAACTTGTAGCCAATGAAAGTGGCTGCACCTTCCTCGCCTGCCTCAAGGCAGCACGGACATTCACAACCCGTGCTTCGAGCTGACGCTTGCCTTCACTTCCAAATCGATGCACAAACCTGGACCGATGCATCATGCAGAATCATGCATCAAGAACTACCACAACGTCGCACGCGTAAGAATGCGAACGCAGACCCGCCTTTCACATCAGATCCACGGCTGCTAGTGGGCATTGGACCCAGCACCACGGCCTCATCCAATGCCTTGGTACACACTTGGAAAGCCAACTGCCAACGGAGTCTGGACAGTACTGCTCTGCTCCACTTACTGAAAACTGGGTAAAACTTCCGCCGGCCAGGAAAATATCAAGGGAACCGATGGTTTTTCTAAACCCTAACATACTACCTTCGGCCTACACCCCTATCCTAAACCCTAAATAGATTTAAATTATGCTAAACCCGAGACTGCAAGATATGGGATTCCCGGACATGGGGTGCTTGCGCATGTAATCACGACACACGACAAGGCCAGGCAGAAAAGGTTAAAGGTTCAGGGCATAGGGTTTGTTGTCGACCTGCGTACTAGTACTACTAGTACTACT